CTTTTTGAAAAAAATTAATAAGGTAATAGGGTCTAGACTTATATATATATATATATATATATATAGAGAGAGAGAGAGAGAGAGAGAACGCTAACCACGCAACCGAGACGGAGAAGAAAATTTTTCAGGTGTTACACAAAAACAAGCTCTAAATTTTTGAAAGTAGCTAACTTTATCAATGATATAAACATAATTCCTTAATAAGTACTTTTGGTGAAATAAGAGATACCGCAAGCTACTTGAAATCTAAATATAAGATGAAAGATCTTAAGAAAACTCAATTTATATAGGTAGTAAGCTAGAACACTAAGTTTGTGGAATCCTTATCATTGGTCCGTTTATGTCTAGAAAATGGTTAGACAATTCAATATGGACATACACACACCCGACTAGCACAATATGATCAGTATTGTACTTAGCATATTGCACTCAAATGAATATATCATTCTTAGTGAATTTGCCAACTAGATTTAGCTCAATAGCAACGAAATGTCATTGAACAATATCAAGAATATTTTTAGATGCCTAAAAAGAACCATTAACTTGGGATTACTCTTTTCCTATAGTGAGGAAAGTAGAACTACAGTAACTACGATCTAATAATAGGTTTTTGCAAATATTGGGCATCTCTCTGGCCCATACAAACATTGTTCCCATACTTGATTACTTGGAAGTCAACCAAGCAAACATTGCAACTACCTACTCAAACCATTTGAAGATTATTGCTCTATACAATGCAATTCAAGAGCCTATATGGTTAATTATTGTCATTACACACATTAGAGGAACTAGTGATTTGAATTCAATCACTATCCTACATGTATAAACGCGGATAATGCAACTTGTATCCAGGAAAATGGAAATACGATACATTAATACCGATAAAACAATTTGCTAAAAAAATTATACAACCAATACTAATGAATCTAATCAAGATTCAGGTGAATAAAATAATATGTAAGAAGAATGTGACATTTGCTTACTAAATCATTACCTCAATCCTTATTTAAGAAACATGCAGAAAGTATTGGAATGTGAATATTTTCCAAACTTCTTTTATTAATGTATAGTTGAAGGGGAGTAGTAGAAAACATAGGGAGTCTACTATACAAGTGATATTCATGTGTTTTGCTACTTCCTTTGTCTATGCTTTTATTTCCATCAGGTTTTTGTTCCTTGGTGTAAAGTTTTTAGTGAGACAACAATTTAACACCATCTTGTTTTCTGAACTCATTTGATTGATGTAAGAATCAGGAGAAGTAATTGAAAAAAGATGAGAAGTATATTATACATGTAATGTTGGTAACTTGGTGTTGTATTTTTTCCTTCACCCAATATTTTATCTTTTTCTTGTCGAGTTTTATTCCTTGGGTGCAAGGTTTTAGTGAGACAAAGGTTTATATGTCATCTTTGTCTTATAAACTAACATGATTAATATACGAATCAAAGAGAATCTTAGACTAAAAAAATCAATATTCCAAAGAAACTGGTGTATTTTACTAATTTTTCATCTCATGTTTATTTTTTCCATTTTAGTTTTTATTTTGGCATAAGGTTTAAAGCAACAATTTGTGCACCATCACCCATTTGTATGAGCGTATGTGGAATGATAACGTGTCATCATCGAAAGGAAATGATGAAAGGATAATCAAAGTTAGCAATGTATTAGGATTATATCATAATAAATAAATTAAGAGAGGGGAGGTTGCGTTGGCTTGGCCATGTTCGTAGGAGACCGATGACGACACTAGTGAAAAGAGTAGTAAAAAGCGACCGTAGGTGCCGGGGGGGGGGGTAACAAGGAGGAAGTAAGATGAGTAAGTGAGGTTGGACATGACGACCTTAGATATTTTTAAGGATATGGCCTCTAATAAGTGTACTTGGTGAGAGATGATTAGATTAGTAGACTAGGGTGTGAATCAATTGCTAACATAGCTGGGGAAGTGGGAGTTAGGGGTTGTTTACCAAAAGCTTACTCGGGTAAGCGCTTATCAAGTCACACAACCTCACCCGATGAATATAGTAAGGACCAAGAACCTTACCCGGTAAGAGTAAAACAATGATCAAGAGTCTTACCCGGTAAGTGAGGGCAACGACTCTTACCACGGTAAGTGCTTACACGGTAAATTGTTGCATAGGATGTCGTTTTGGTGGACCAAAATCTTACTCGGTAAGAAAATAGTATTGTTAAATTTTACCGATAAGCACTTATCGGACTAATGTTTGGTAAACAGCCCCTTAGACAAGTTAGGAAGGAAGTAGAAGACTTTTAAAGATGTATTTATGTTGTTCTTGCTATGTGTGGTGTTGTTCTTTAACTTTTGTATGTATGCGAATTAGTATCTTTTAGTACTTGTTCTTATTTTTCTCGTGCTTCCTTCATCGTATGCTAATTTTATTTTTGCTACATGTTGTGTTCATACTATTGCATGAGCTGGGGTCTTCACGAAAACATGACTCTATTTTTTAAAATAGATGTCAGATCTACATACATATTATTCTTCATGTTTAAAAAAAAAGGCTTACAATTTTTTTGGCCTTGTACAATTAATTTAACTAGTGTTCCAACCGCGCGTTGCGCTGTAGTCATAATACCATATTCAAAATGAATGTTATAGATTAAAATTTGAATTCCACTTCTAAAAAACAATTATGCAAATGTGTGTGACAACTACTCATTAACAAAAAAAAAATTAAGAGAAGTTGACAACAATATCAGAACCATATGCTAATTTAAGTTATCTAATTATGGTAAAAAATGATGTTACAAAGTATTCTACAAATGTTTAACTAATGTTACTAGTTTGTTTAATTAGAAGTGACAGTTCTAACTGAAATCTCATATAAGGTGACATAATGACAATGTTAATTTTGTAACAAATTTAATTGAAATATCATTTTAAGTTATGAAAAAGAAACATTCTATAATATTTCAAAATAAAATTAGAGGAGTGTATAAGTTGTAGCAACAGTAGTGAAAGTTTAAGGCGATGCATGAAGAACCATGCATATAACCAAGCTAAGATAATAAATTTTTCCTCATAAAAAGATAAAATTGATATCAAGTGGGGTCGATGACCCACATATCAGATATTAAGCTGATAAAAACAAATACTACACTTTATCATAACATTTCATAATATTTGAATTGTAATTAGAGGGGTGTGTCAAACTTTGATAGCAGTAACACCAAGACGATAGATAAAATAACTACATCACCCAGTAGTATAATGGGCATTTTCATATACAAAAATAAAATACCAAGCAAGCTTCTACACACACACACACACACACACACACACACATATATATATATATATATATATATATATAAAAGGAAGAACCAAGAGTATTGAGGTGATATCATGAGAATTAAGTATTGAGGTGTTGGAGAATTGTGGTTGATTTTGAGATATCCCACATTGGTGAAAGATTTGAAAAAAAATGAAGTGTATAAGAAAGGTGGATTGGATGCCTTTATGTCAAATAATAGGGTTTGCCTCATAGGGTTATCTTTCTTTGGATGACTCTCTTTGAAATCTATAAACATGGTTGGAAACCAAACAAACCAAATGGTAGAAATTATAGTGCAAAATTAATTATATTATATTATTATATCTTTATATATATATATATAGAGAGAGAGAGAGAGAGAGAGAG